ATATGCCTTATTATGGGTAATGCAGGTTTTATATCATCAACCGTACTATATGTATAGGAAGGAACCCTAAGGACGTGTATTGGCAACCATTCCGACTCTTGAATTGTGGCTTCGGGCTTTAGGTTTGGGCTTTTGGGTTCTAGAGGTTCGAGGGTTTTTTGGGTTTCCGGGCTTTCAGGTGTTTATTGTTGTTCGGGGTTTTGCAGTTTCAAGGGTAATATAGGGGCATTATCATTGGAGGATAGACGGAAACCCAGCTCGCAGCCGCATGGTCAACATCGAATTGCATGAGCTGCCCAAGCTGCCCAGCGACGCCAAGTCAATGGGCGTGACGATCGTCGAATGGACTGTTAGAACAGGGTTTTGGGGCCCACTGTACTATAATTATAATGAGGAGCCCCCCAAAATAGTATGGGTAATTATTTAGACCATCCTAAACCCTAAACCCTAAATAGAGGTAGGGTTTAGGGTTTAGGGCGGTTTAAGGTTTAGGGTTTTGGTGCGGTGAGGGCTTTGGACGTGAAGGTGTGTAGTGTGGACTGCATGGGTACCGGGAGCACTCGGGCAACTTGCAAACCCAAATCCCCTCTATAACCCTAACCTTAAACCCTAAACCCCAAACCTTAAACCCTAAACCCCAGACCTTAAACCCTAAACCCCCAGACCTTAAACCCTAAACCCCCAAACCTTAAACCTTAAACCCTAAACCCCCAAACCTTAAACCCTAAACCCCCAAACCTTAAACCCTAAACCCTAATGCTCGTCCACACCCTACCCCCTCGACAAAAAGCCTACGCCTCATCTCTAAGGCCTACCTATGTAAGCCCCTAAACCTTAAATCCGAAACCCCGCAAGCCTTTGTTTTAGGGTTTAAACCCTAAACCCTAAACCCTAAACCCTAAATTAGGGTTTAGGGTCTCGGGTTTAGGGGAAATCAGAAATCTCCAAACCTAAACCCTAAACCCCTGAGCCCTAAAGCAGAAGTCTCCAAACCTAAACCCTAAACACCCCTGAGCCCTAAACCCCTAAACCCCTAAACCCCTAACCCCTAAACCCTGCACCCCTGAACTCCGAACCCAGGTCCACCTCTGCCTTCTCCGCCTTCTCCTCGCCCTCCTCCGGCTTCTCCTTGGAGGTTCATGGGTAGTTATAAGTGGGGTTCGGGTTTAGGGTTTAGGGTTAAGGTTTGGGTTTAGGGTTTTTGGAGGTTCATGGGTAGTTATAAGTGGGGTTCTAAGTGCCCTAATATGGGTTATAATTAGAGTTGCCCTACTTATGACCCTACTTATAACTACCCATGAACCTCCAAGTCCTGACTCCATGCCAAGCGACTGAGAGGCCGGCACAAACATGTTGAGGGTTCAGGGTTTAGGGTTTAGGGTTCAGGGGTTTAGGGTTCAGGGTGTAGGGTTTAGGGTTTGGGATTTAGGGTTTAGAGTTTAGAGTTTAGGGTTTAGGGTACAGGGTTTAGGGTTTAGGGTTTGGGGTTTAGAGTTTAGAGTTTAGAGTTTAGCGTTTAAGGAATGTAGGGAGATGGCGATGGGATCTTGCGAAAGGTTCTTACGGGCTTGTGGAGGGGATGCTTAGGGCTTCGCAAGGGTATATATATATATATACATGTATATGTATATGTATATGTATATGTATATGTATATGTATATGTATATGTATATGTATATGTGTGTATCTATAGCATATATATATATGTATGTATGTATGTATGTATGTATGTATGTATGTATGCACATCAGTATGAACCTATGAATACGAACATTTGTATGAATGTTACCATGATTCAGAACTAATATTCATATTAATATAAAACGATAATTCAAAAATCATATTCGCTATATACACATGAACAACTTAATAACTTGATATTCATGTTAATCTTAAACTACTGTCTGCTTATGTGTTTTCTCAATATGAATACGAATATGCATAACCCCATATGAATACTAACAATAACTATAACATTAATGATTGATTATTCTGGGTGCTCGGGTTTGGAGCTTTAGCTTTAGGGCTCTGTAGGGTTGGCCACAGGGCTTGTGACGCACCCCTAAAACCCGAACCCTAAACCCGAATCGCTAATCGCTAGACACGGGCCTCAATAATTAGAATAGGGTTTTGGGGTACAATATACTACTATTATAATAAGGAACCTCCGCAATAGTATAGGTAATTATTAAGGCCCCTATATTACTCCCTACAACCCATGCAGCTCGGCTCCTTCTCCACGTCTCCCTCTTCTTGTTGCCCGCCGTTCTCCTGAAGAGACCGAGGGCGAGAGCGACAGGGCTATGCGCAGTTCTTGAGGGTTCCTTGAAAAGGGTTCTGCAAGGGTTACTTTGCGTTCGACAATGAGGGCTATATGTAGCTAAGGACTTTAGGAGGGACCCCTAATAGGAATAACCACTGTATAGTCCTTATATACCCCTTATATAGCCAGGTAGTCTCCATATTAACCCCAATAACCTACAAGGGTCCCTGTTAAGGGTCCCTCCTAAAGCCCTTAGAATGTAGGGGCCTGAAGAGCTTGAATCGTAATTTTGGGGGACGGTTTAGGGTTTAGGGTTTAGGCGTATCTGCAAGCTCCCCAGGGAATCCAGGTGTCATCCCAATGGTCCTCGGCGGCTTCCTCGGTCTTCTTCTCCTCCTCGCTTTTCTTGGCCTTCAAACGGAAGAGATCGGTTTAGGGTTTACGCCCCAAAGCCCCTCGTTTGAAGTCAATATTACGAAGGCCGAGCATTCAGCACCTAATCTCAAGTTCGCTAATGTAGGGGCCAAAATATTTACCAATCCTATTTTGGAGGTCCCTTGTTATAATTATGGTATCATGGGCCCCACAACCCTGATCTAATTTTAAGGACCCTAGATTACATACCTGGGGACTGGGGACCCTCACTGCCTCACTGTCTGAAGCCCTATAAACCCCATCATACAGAAGTCTGAATAACTTGCAATGATATCCCTCGTGGCCCCTATATAAACTGTGTCACTATACTGTAATGGACACAAGCATCCTGTTCGATTTCGGAAGGCCTTTAAAACGACGGTCCCTCCACTTGAAACTCCGGTATGGACCTACTCGTAGCTCGGGGATTATATGGAGATTATAGTACCCCCAAAAAAGGTTAAAGGTTCTCTACCCTACCACTGAGTGGGCCTGCGCCTGCTCTTTCCGCTTCTTCGCCATCTGAAGCGCTCTTCTTCGGCTTGGGTCCTGCATAAGAACGGCCCTAAACCCTAAACCCTAAACCGGCGTTTCGGTGGTTCTAGGGCTCCATGGCTTTTTGTTGATGATATTTTTAGCAAGCTTTAGGGCATTCGCGGGTTCTGGTCTTCGGTAAGGAGGCCGGAACCCCCAACCCAACAACATAATCTAGGGGCCTTAACAAGTAGAATGGGGTTTTGGGGCTTCCTTAATAGAACTTGGTGTACTTCTGAACCCCTCCTAAAAGTTAAACTTTTAGCCCAGATATTATAGTCCATATAGAAACCCCAAAAGTTAAAGTCTAAAGAGCCAACCAGAAGAACGCTAAGAGAATTATGGTATAACATACCCCAAGCCCTTCTCTAATTATTTTATATCCAACAACATATTAAATTATGGAACTTTCAACCCTGAACCCTAAACAAGAAAAAAGTCGGATGCTCAACAGGAAGTCCTTGAAGTCTTGATGGGCTCTCTTCCTCAGTTGCAGGGCGAACTGGCAAACGCCATGAAACTGTTTGCTATCTCGAAATTCTGGCCCTAAACCCTAGACCCCTAAACTCCTAGACCCCAAAACCCTAAACCCCAAAGTTCTAAATCCTAAACTCTAAAAGCCTAAAGCCTAAATCCTAAATGGGGGAGGGGAGAGGGCCTGGTGTTTCCTCTTTCAAGCCCAGCACAACCTTGAACTCAGGCACCCTCATGGAACCTAACATAGTAGCCTTAATAACTAGAATAGGGGTTTTGGGGTATATTATACTATAAATACAGCAAGGAACCCTAAACCCTAAACCCTAAACCCTAAACTATAGGTCACTATTAAGGCCTCTATATTATTTTAGGGACCCTGATGGTTACGGTAGGCTCTGGGGGTGTAATACAGCTTCTAAATACGGTTGTTGATATACATCCTGCAACACCCACGGTTTAGGGTTTAGGGTTTAGGGTTTAGGGTTTAGGATCATGAGGAATACACCAACATTCTCATAGTTTAGGGCCCTTAAGGTCATGCAGGATTTATATCATCAACAGTATGATAAGCAACCCGAAGGTATCGTATTACTTACTGTTCATGCTTCTATATAAGGGTTAGGGTTTTGGTGAACGGAGAGAGAATTGCTGAGAGTTTGGTACGGGACCAGCGTGCTAAAACCTAGCTCCCGCAACAAATTCTTGTATGGGGACTTCTCAAACATGGGGGGGTGCTTTCGACAGGCATCAGTTTCATCAACAATCCTACTAGTTAGGGTGTAGATCAGGCTTTCCTATGTTCAAGAAGTCCCTTATTCCCCTGTCAAGAGCCCTATCCACGGGTTCTATATTTTGGCAGTTTTTTAAGTTGGGGTCCCATTTAAGTCCCCAATATAGTACGGCGCCCTTATAAAAAGACCCTAAAAGGGACCCTAATTTAGAGAACTACCCATGTTGTGAAACTCCCAGATAGCTCCCAAACGAAGCCATGAACCATATTCTTGTAATATGGGGGCCTTAATAATTAGAATAGGGTTTTGGGGTATATTATACTATCATCAAAATAAGGACCCCCCCCCAAAAAAAAAATAGTACAGGTAATTATTTAGGCTCTTATATTCAATCTCGGCCCACAACCTGAAGCTCCAAACCCCAAACCCCTTGAGAACGAAAGAACTATCAGATCTACTAGGTTGGCTCCTTCAAGCCTTTGCAAAAAGCTCGTAGATAAGATCCGCGTAAGCCTAAGAAGGGAAAACATACAAGATCCTAAAGCCCCACTACCCGAAACCCTAAACCTAAAGCCCTCTACCAACTTTAAACTCCACAGAAAAAGCCGAGTATCCACGAGCCAAGCATGCGGTTCCACTCGTTGTGCTTCTGGCGGAACCACTCCGAAGGCCTTAGGTGTAATTCTTGGGCCAGAATAGTTACCCAGAGAACCCAATACCCCTTAATTAAGGAATATCCCTTAAATCATAATATTAGGGCCCTTATAATTTAAGGTATATTCCTTAATTAAGGGGTATTGGGTTCTCTGGTTAGAACAAGTTTCAAGTTGTAATATACTATACTCGAAGTCTATTCAGGAGCACCGTCTAGTTCTTCCATTTTGTTTCTACGACGACGAGGACTGTTTTTACTACTTTCACCACTAATTACTGATATTGCTACTGCTACTGCTACTGCTACTGCTATTGCTACTGCTACTACTACTACTACTACTACTACTACTACTACTCATAATGCTGCTGCGGCTGCTAGTACTACGACGACGACGACGACTACTACTACTACTACTACTACTACGACTACTACGACTACTACTACCAAGAATAATGGCAGTACTAATGAAACCAACAATAACAAACATACTAAGAATACTAGTAATACTAATAATACCAGTATTCATAATACTACTAATGGCCATAACGATAATCAGCATGAGCAGACCATGCTACCCTGTAGTGATCAGAGGACGCCACTGTGCAGCTAGCCTTTACCATGAGATGGCATTGTCTTCAAGAGTCACGAAGACCGTGAGACCGGAGTTCACTCCAACTGCCAGTCACAGATACTATAACCGTACACCCGAAATCCACTTACTTTATTCTATGATCCTTCAAGTGATAGTAAGAGTAGCAGTAGTAGCACTTGCAACCAGCCACGTTTTCCCATGATCCTTTCTCCCTCAACCCTAAACCCCATATCCTAAACCCTAAACCCTAAACTCCTAAAGCTCCTAAAACCCTAAACCCTAAACTCTGAACACTGCCACTCCCAGGGAGCGTGAAGAGCCTCGGGTCGTGGCTGAAGACCCTCTACTCGCTGCGTCATCTTGCGCTCCAGAACCTGGGCGAGTTAAGGGGTTTTGGGGGTTTTAGGGGTTTAGGGGGTTTTGGGGTTTAGGGTTTAGGATATGGGGTTTATTGTTTAGGGTTTAGAGTTTAGGGGTTTGGGGGGTTTAGGGTTTCGGGGTTTTGGGGGTTTTCGGGGTTTGGGGGGTTTAGGGTTTTAGGGGTTTTAGGGTATGGTCAGGTCGAGGAAAACTTAAAATGTTTGAAATAGTATTCCGGGAAGAGCGATGTAAGGCGGTGGAGCGGGTGTCGGAAATCCTAAACCCTAAAACCCTAAAACCCTAACCCCCCCCCCAAAACAAAAAAAACACTAAAACCCTAAACCCTAAATTTGCCATTCATGCGAAGCTGCGCACACGAGTCTGCCCCCTCGGAGATCCCAGCCCCTCTTACCCCGAAGCCAGAGATCCCAATACCCCTTAAATAAAGAATATACCTTAAATTATGGGGGCCTTAATATTATGATTTAAGGTATATTCCTTAATTAAGGGGTATTGGGCTCTCTGGGAAGCTCTTACATGCACTGGAGCCCTAACCCTAAGAACCCAAACCCTCTGTGGCCCAAAAGACCTCCCGTTTTCAGGAGCTATATATAGATATGGGTGGTTGTCAAAATTATGGTCCCTTTTTGGGTCCTTATTATAATACGGCACCTATTATTTAAAGGGTACCCCAAAAGGGACCATAATTTTGACAACTGCCCATACATATCTAAATATATATATATATATATAGAAACCATAATTTGGAGCTTCAAAAAAATTAGGTCTTTTCGGCTGCGGGTAAAACCCCCAAAAGCTAAACCCGCAAACCTTTCAACCCCTCCACCCTAAACCCTAAACCCCTAAACCGTAAAACCCTAAAGCCCTAAACCCTAAAACCCTAAACTCCTAAACCCCTAAACTCCTAAACCCCTCCCTGGTCTTTGCAGAGCGAATGAGACTGCGGCCCACTTCTGCAGGTACTCCTTACACTGCGCCTCCTTGTACCACAGGAAGGTCACTTTGTCGCAGCCTGAGACGGAGGAACTACTACTACTATTGTTTCTATTATTATCATTAGTAGTAGTAGTAGTAGTAGTAGTAGTAGTAGTACTAGTATTAGTATTAGTATTAGTATCCTGTATTCTTAATACTACAGCTATTGCAATTTAAACTAACGATATTATGAACACTTTTGCAATAACAATAGCATTACTTAGTATTCTATCGCAATAGCCAGCTTCTCAGTCGCATTGGATAGGTTCTTCCTCGACGGGCTGTGCCATCCGTCAAAATAGATGAAAGACTCCGTGAAGGTTTAGTAGCCCCGTACTAGTGCTTAGACACGAGCTTGGCTGACTTCTCAACCCCTCCTAAAAGTTACACTTTTAGCCCATAAGTAAAGATAAAGTCCTAAACCCTACACCCTAAACCCTTCTCAAACCCCAAAAACATGCATCGCCGGCATTTCTCAAAACTCGCCCCGCAGCGGCACCGAGCAGGACAAAAGCCAGCTCGCCGGGGCCCCTATGCCCTAAAAAGCCCTAAACTAACAAAACCCTAAACCCTAAAGCCCTAAACCCTAAACCCTACAAGCCCCAAAACCCTGAAACCCAAACCCTACACCCCTCAAGCCCTAAACCCTAAGCCCCATAAACCCCTAAATCCCTAAAACCTCTAAACCCCGAAATAGCCTACAAACCCTAAAGCCTGAGACCCTAAACCCTACACTCCCCAAACCCTAAACCCTAAGCCCCAAACCCCCAAAGCCCTAAAGCCCTAAATCCTAAACCCTAGAACCCAAAACCCGAAAAGCCCTATAAACCCCTACAGCGCTAACCCCCTAAACCCCCCTTATAATAAAACCCCACTTATAACCACCCATGAACCTCCAAGTAAACCCCTAAACCCCCCGTTAAGTAGCCAGGCCTTCCTCCGAAGATGGGAGTGTGAACTTCTCGTAGGACGAAGACATATCCTGACCGGTTTAGGCTTAGGAGGTTTAGGGTCTGGGGTTTAGGGGCTTAGGGTGTAGGGCTTAAAAGGTTTAGGGTTTAGGGTTTGAGGGTTTAGGGTTTAGGGCTTAAGAGGTTTGGGGTTTAGGGTTTGGGGTTTAGGGTTTAGGAGGTTTAGAGTTTAGGGTGCTGCCGTTTTTTGTATTTAGGGTGTTAAGGTCAGAAGTCGACAGGGTTTGGGTTTA